TAAACTGAGCTTACGTAGAGGAATTTGAACTTTGGTCAGTTAGAGTAAAAAAAAAATGAACCTTTAAAGTGATTCTAGTGATATGTTTACTGCTTGCCCTTTACTTTCTTAGGGAGGGTTTGACGTGCCTATAAGGAATGCACAAATAAATTTGACATTTTGATAAATTCGACCAGAAAATGGAAATTTCATCAAGTAATGAAAACAGACTAGTTTAAACTAATTGAATTCCTTTCCCGCTCATTCAAATTCATTTTTACATATAGCAAAGTCCTCGATTCCCTTTCCCAGGTGTCATTTGACTGTATGGGGAACAAATAGTCTCCTGCATTTTCCCATGTGATGACATCAGAGAATACACCCTATTTCTCAGGGAGCACCATCCATAATAGTAGTCTAAACAATAACAACAACAAAATTGAGATGTAAGCATACTTAGTACTTGAAACATTGTTACTCTTAGTGATGTTAAAATACTGCCAAAGAGCTATGATCAGTGATGTTTATAAATGAAGATAATTTAAAACTGGAAAAGATGTTTTAAAAATCAATATTAAGATAAAAATTTCATCATTGTTAAATTAATATAAATCCACAGAAAAGTCCATTAGCATGCATTTGCTTAGCTAAACTGCTTAGTCTTCATGACTTTGTATAAAATATAAAGCAGAGTTTTTTCATGGAGTAAAGTAGAAAAAATTCAGAATTGTATGGAATTATATGGCATTTGTAGGTTTTACTTCTGTAGTTTGAAATGCTCACAAATTAACGGAGATTAAGTAGGAACATCATACACACTTGAAAGTTTGAGAAAATAATATTTTCACAAAATGAAAAGGATTATTATTACTATTAGATGAGAAAATAGTAAACTGAACCACTGAATGTTTTATACAGGTTTTCTTATAGTTATCTTCTGTGAAGCTAATAGATTAAGTTCTTTGAAAATACAGTGAATTACTTACAAAGGAAGCTCATTTAAATATTCACCGAAGATATATATGTTCGTGAGCCAAGGAAAATCTTGGTTCAAGTTGTATCATATACAATAAATCTTTGTGCCAGACAATAAGGGGTACAGAAAAGTACAAAACAAATTCCTTGTCAAGAGGTCCAGAATCGAGGGTGAAAGTCAGATTTTTCTGTAAGAATAATAATGTCATTTTTAAAGCACTTGCCACAACCCTCCCCTCCTTCCTTCCATACATTCATCCATCTTCTCTTTTCAACCAATGTTCCCTGTCATGGACCAACTGCCCTCAGCACAGGAGGACAAGGGCAGCCCAGCTCCTCCCTCCCTTCCTCCCTCCCGCCCTCCTTCCTTCCATACATTCATCCATCTTCTCTTTTCAACCAATGTTCCCTGTCATGGACCAACTGCCCTCAGCACAGGAGGACAAGTGAGACCCAGCCCAGCTCTTGGGGAAGGTGCAGTCTGGAGGTCTCTGTGGAAGAAGGAAGGTGTGAAACTTACCAACTTCTTGGGAAAACAAGACATGTACACTTTGACTGGCCAGGGCAGTGAATGGTGTGTCTCTCAGAACTGTACCTATTCATAGGAAGAACTGAAATCTAATTTGGACTGATCAGAAAATGCATCACAGAAAAGATGGGATTGATCTGCTTTGCATCTCGGAAATTGAGAAGGATTTATAATGATAAGGTGAAGACTGGTCTTGTCAAGGGAAAGGGAGGGATGGTATTAGCAGAGGCTTCAAACTGAATATAAGCACGGTATGTCTGGGTGTTGAGTGTGGTTTACCTGGGATGATGAGTTACTGTTTGGAGGTTGGGGGTGATGAGTCAGGCCTGGGTCAAATTATGGAAGGCACTGAATGGCAACCTAAAGAGTTTGGGTTTTGTTTGACAATGGGGAGCCACTAAAGGAGCTTTCTGCAGCATAAAGACAAGTAGAAAGTGTGACTTAGAAGGATTACTCTGTCCTTGGTGTCCAGGACGTATTGAACTATGGAAGCTGGTTAGAAAAGTAGTACTACCTTATTCATAGTGTGAAGAAATGAAGGCCTGACCTTTGGTGTTCCCATGCAGGCGGAAAAAAGGGGACTTTATGGAGAAAGCATCTCATCAGAGGGTATGTTGTATGGCTGGATTTGGGGAGAATGAGAGAGAGAAAGAGAGAGAGAGAGAAGGAGAGAAGGAGAGAGGGAGAGAAGGAGAATAAGAAAGAGAAAGAGAGAGAGAGAGCGCTGTGAGGCATAAGTAATTAGGTCTTGAAACATTTTCCCCTTCCCCTACTACTTTCTGGTTTTCCTTCCATTTTGGTGTTTATTTCTCTTGTACATGCAAGTGAAGATGACCTCAGTGATCCCCACATCCTGGAATTTAAACCCTTGTGAGATCCCCTCCCCTTCAGTGTGGGCTATATCTAATGACTTGCTTCTA